AGGGGAGCTGATGTTACGGGCAGGGGAACGAGGTGAAGATGTAGTAGGAGTTGTGGGAGGGGTAGTGGCCGAAGGTGTATACGGTTGAGCGGAGAAGCCGGGTGGAACCAGCGGAGTGGTGGGATTCGGGTGGGGGGCGTTCGTCTGGGGTGTGTCCAAAGATGGGGTAGGGGTCGAGGCCATGTGAGCAGGCGTAGATACCAAGGAGTCCGGAAAAATGGGAAGGACTCCAAAATAGGACGACACAGAAGATGTGGAAGACGGGACCTTATATGGGAAGACGGACTCCTGAAACTAAACATGACGAGAAACATAGACACGATTGGTGGAGAGATCATAACATCGATAACCCTTGGACAGGAACTCATAACCGAGAAAGACACAACGTTTAGAACGAGATTGTAATATATGGTCCATCTCATGACGAAGATGGGGTAAACAAGACAACCAAAGACACGTAGATGAGAGTAATTAAGTGGAGTGTGATAGAGAGCTTCAAACGGAGACTTGTTTTTGAGGGATCGCTTCGGCATGCAATTGATGAGCTTCAAAAACATAAATTTTTAATAAGGTAACTAAGGCATAAAATAAAAAACGCATCATTTTTTATTAAAGTTATAAAATGGATAATTATAACTAATAAAAATGTAACAGCAAAAAGTAATTATCATCACATACTCTAAAAATGATATTATATGTTGACATGTCAAGAAATGGCCAAGTGTGTTCTCCGTTTGTCGAACTCTCATAAATCGAGTTTCAAATATTATAGTAAAAGATTTTTCATACTTATGCATTAACTTACACGTTTAATGCACACACATTTTTTAGTTACTTTAATATGGAAAATGTATTTTTAACATATTCTTACCATTTAGAGTATGACAATTTTAAGCAGTACTCCATGATCTATTCCATTTAGAATAAAGGCTAATTGAAAACATATATTTTAAGCAGTACTCCATGATCTCTTCCATTTGGAGTAGTTATATCACATCCTCAATATAACTATATTCTTTGGAAATTAATTTTTGAAATTTTTTGCTAGCCACCAATATGATTTTTTTTACCCAATTGTATAAATTTCATCAAGTGTCAAAGTTCTTCCATGATTCTCATTTCGTCCGAATTTAATCTTCTAATTTGGTTTTATTGGTCAAATTTTGAATATATTGACCTCTATATATTAAAAATAATATTTTTTGTTTTTCTATAAATGTAATATCAATAATTTTTTGAAACATTGTTTTGAAGTATAAATTTTTCATAAGATATGATAAGTACAAATATCGATACTAATGATCAAAATATTAAATTAAAGATCGTTTAAAGTCAAATAAGAAGATGAAATTTGCTCATACAATGAGTAGACCTAAAGTTGTCATCTTTTCAAGATAGGTAGCGACCATACTCTTTCTTTTTTGGCATAAGACCACTAACCAATATATAAAATTAATGAAATTCATCCAGAGAAGTATATGCATGCATAACTAATTATTACATAAAAATGAAGTATATGCATAACTAATTATTCCAAAGTGTTGACTTTAAAAATAGAAAATTGCGTGGTTTACAAATAAAATGATCAAAAATCTCACAAACTTACTATTTGTGAACTTAAATAATAAATAAAGTAGTATAAAATAATTTTAAAATTAATGTTTAAATCATAAATGGTAAGCTTGTGAACTTATAACTAGGGGTGGACACGGTACGGTTCCGGGACGGTTCCGGTTCCGGAACCGCCGGTTCCGGTACCGCCACCCCTTGGTACCGGTACCGGTACCGGTACCGGACCGGCCGGTACCGGTTCCGGTTCCGGTACCGCCGGTTCCGGTACCGTTTCCGGTACCGTTTCGGCCACCCCTAATTTTGTTTTTTTTTTTGCTTTTTTATTATATTTTTAAAATGTAAAATTGTAAATGTGTAATTGTTAAAGTAAATGATGAAATAAAAAAATCTAAAAATGAAATTGATAAAGGAAAGAATGAAATAAAAAAATAAAAATAAAAAAAACGGTAACGGTACCGGAACCGGAATCGGAACCGCCGGTGCCGGTACCGAAAAATGGGCACCGGAACCGGTACCGGATTGGGCGGTACCGGTACCGGTTCCCGGAACCGGTGGACCGTACTGGCCGACGGTAACGGTACCGGAACCGGCGGTACCGTTTCCGGTACCGGTACTGTACCGGTACCGTGTCCACCCCTACTTATAACCATTTTGTTTGTGAAGCTTGCATTGCTCTTTAAAATATGCCACCTCAATCATTTTTAATAAACACATGCATGCTGAGTTCTTAAAGATTTGCCCAATAGACATGTCATGCGTCAATACGTGGTAAGTTTATTTTCAAATTTTATATATAAAGATAAAGATTGAGCATTATTTGGCCATGCAAAAGCCAAAGTTCTTAAATTTCACTCATATTTTCCTTGAGTTATGCTTCATTCAAAGAATTTGGAATGAAAAAAAAAAAACAAAATAACTTCCTTATATTCATCGTCAAAAGGAGAGGAGTTTAATTTTTCTTTTTAGTTAATTTTATCTTTTCTTTTACTCCTTTTTTATTTTTCTTTCTAACCAACCAAAAAAATTGTTTTAGTCTCATATTTTTTTTTCTTTTCCTTTTTATAATACTTGAATAAGAGTTTCTTGGATGTTCAAGAAGTTTTGGGGATTCTTAATTTAGACTCTGTGATCACTCATGATAAGTTGATTAACCAAAAAAAAAGAGTTCATATTATTAACTTACAATGGATTAAAACAAAGAAAATATCCACTAGTTACTAAGGCTTCCAATAGGACAGAGCATGAAGAACCTTCCCCTTCCATCCATGCAACAACCAGTTCCCGTCTTCATCCACCGAGAAGTTCTTGTTGTACTCTGATTTCACCTTCTCCCTCACACACTTGACGATCTCTTGATCCAGCGGCAGCGGCCGGAACCCAGCCCTAAGGCTTCTAACTTGCCATTGCTTATACGTCTCCGGCCTCTCAACTCTCTCCGTTCCTTCACAGGCTATCACATTCAGGGCTTCTCTCCCGAACACCATCTCCTCAAAGAGCCGCCTGTCACCGTCTTCGCGCGCCACCGTCTCTTCGAATATGTCGAAGAGCGAGGAGAAGTGGAAGAGCGTCTCCCGGAACCGCGTGGGGAAATACGGGGCGTTGTATGCCCCGTTTACGATCCCGTGGACGAACACGTCTGGGTTGATGTGCTTGATCAGGCTGAGGACAATGTCCCTTGGGCTGTCCAGCACCACCGTCTCGTCGGGCACGTTCCCGAGCCGGTCCAAGCAGTTGACAATTACCACGTCGTCGTCCCGATCTAGCTGGAGCTCTGCGAGCTCTACGCTCTCCCATTTCTTCGCAATCGCCTTGAACTCGAACGGGACGTTGAACTTCCTGCAGTACTTCTCGAGGCGAAGCCCGGTGGCTTTGACCCGCTCCGCGGGTCGGAAACCGGGCTGGGGAAAGTCTATCCCGGTAATACGGAGTCTCGGGGGGCCACCGGGCCTCGCCGAGAGACCTTGGATCAGACACGCCCATTGAAAACCATACAGAATTCCGAAATCAATTATGTGCAGCCTGGCTGCTCCTCTGGCGGCCGCAAGCTTCCCGATATACTTGTTGGCCATCATGGCAGAGGCGGTCTTAAAAGGGCTGGCGGCGATATACATCTGATAAGCCTTCAAGACGTCCGCCGCTGATATATTGCCGCCGGGATGGGGAGACGCGTAGAGCGACGTTCCCGTCCCGTTCAGGCGGGCGTCGAGGGCGTTCGCGAGGTAAAACGCCAACCTTTCCATTCCATTGCCCTGAGGAGTGGCGTGCTGCCTGATCTTCTGCAGAGTCCCCATGGCTGTCCTGATTTCTCGATTCGCCATGGAGTTTGCACATTGGCTCAGTAAGCTTCTGAAATCCACGAATTCCTGTTTCGTTTTCTTCTTCCCTCTTCTTCCTCCTCCTCTTCCCCCCTTGGATTGCTCCCTCTGCTGTGATGGTTCAGACCTCGGGTCTTTCTTGGTACAGGGAAACAAATCGTCGAACATCTCGAACGCGACCTCGGATTCGTCGGAGTAACTCGCCAATTGCTTGTTCCTGGGCTCTTGATCATTGTCCGACGAAGAAGAAGAAGAGGGGGAATTGAGGTTCCTTTTCCCCTTCCCCTCGGGGGAACCATTGGCGGCGGGGGGACTCAAATCGGAGGAAGGTTCAACGGAAGAGGAGGAGTTGGTCAGAGCACTGGTCCAGGAGAACCCGTCCGGCGGCGGAAGAGGAATGACGCCGGCGGCGGTGCCGTTGAGAGCATCGGAGAAGTACTTCTCGGTGGCCTGGAGAGCCATACAGTCCCTGAACATGCAAGGCCGGGTCTCCAGGTCCTCTTCCTCCATCAGCATCTGGCTTATGTACTTGAGGGTCGTAGCAGGGTAGTCGCCTTCCTCCTCTGTTTCTTGGGGTTGATGATGAGCAGGAGGTTTCTTCATCTGGAGGAGAAGATTGGCATTATTGAAGAATCGCATCTGGGAATCCACTGGGTTATTCGAGTGGTGGTTGTAGACGAAGTTATTTGATGTGGCTATGAATTCTTGGAACAGAGCCTCCATTATCACAGAGATGGGGAGAAGAAAGTTGGCTCTCTCGTTGTTTTATACGGAGTAGTAAAAGGGAGGAGAGTCCATTGACTTTTACCCCCTCGTTTACACGACGATGTGAAAAAAAAAATGTGGTAGTTTTTGAATTCAATAAATACTCCCTCCGTCAGAGCACTATTCCAACTTCACGGGAATTTATATTTATTTGTGTTTTTCATGGCGTATATGATAAAATAAAATATTCTTGTCACCACTTGTTTTGTTGAACTTTTGGTGTAATTTTTAAATATGTATGTTTTATTTTTTATTTCTATACCAATATTTAAATAAAATAGATTGAAAAAACTTGGGATTTTTTTTCGTTTTGCGAACCGGGAAGATCATTATAGGACGGAGGGAGTAATACGGAGTATATTTAATCTAATACGGAGTACTTCATTCCGTTGCGTTCTCATTTTAATTACTCCCTCCGTCCCCCTGTATTTGTCCACTTTTATTTTTACACACCATCCAATGCACTTCTTTAATCCATTTTATCTTGTAATTTGTATATTAAAAAATTATAAAAATTATATATTAATAATCTATATGTTAAGACAAACCAAACAAGATCACACATGACTATATTTAGGCTTATACATTGAGAGAATTTGATGAATCAAAGTGCTTAGATGAACAGTTCCAAAAGTCAAATGTGGACAAATACAGGGGGACGGAGGGAGTACAATTTTATTTTCTCTCACGTAATCACATCTCAATAACTCTTGTTTATATATGTAGTTTCATTAATACTCCGTAGTTGAATAAAATATTCTGGTAACAAATCATCTTAAATATGAGTAAAACATAGAGAAAGTACTAAAATACAAGTTACATATTTTTATAGTCTAAATAAGAATTTGTACTGTGCTAATATGCGCTGTACATGTGTATATTAATATACTATTTGGTAAGTTAGATAAAATACATAGGTAACATTAAAAAAGTACAAAATGTAAGTGAAAAGAGAATAATCTTTTGAGTTTTAGCTTAGCTTAGATGGTTAGAGCAAAATTACTAGTTGATGTGACATTTACTCCCTCCGTCCCAAATTATTTGCAACATTTGCTTTTTTAGTAGTCGCGGGAACTTTTGTTTATTTCTATGTTTTTATTGGTTATTTGATAAAATAAAATATTCTTGACATCTTTTATTTCGAAAAACTTTTCATGTAGTTTTTTGGTATGTAAATTTTATTTTTTTTCTATACCAATATGTAAATAAAATAAATTGAAACAACCTAATATTATTTACCTTGGGAATATAAGTGTGGCAAATATTTAGGGACGGAGGGAGTATTAAAAGATGGATTTGAGTTTAGTGTAAATAATTAAAGATGGTTTATGTATTTATGATTAATACGAAATAATTGAAGTCCCTAATTCAGTGTCAATTATTGGGTGCTGTCACATTTGCACCACCAGCCAAGTTCCCAGCAATATTCACACTTGCGTGGCCCACGTTCATTGTTTTTTTTTCCGCAAAACGTCATTGCGTGCGTCTTTTGCATTGTGAGAGCATCTCCATCTTCTCCAAAGGGAGAGTAAATTTAGCTTTGAAAATACCCACTAAATTGTGTTTCACTTTTAGAGCAAGTGGAAATGGTCGTGAAGACCCGGAGCTTCAAATTGGGGTTTCAAACATTCTCTCTCTGTCACATCAGCTTTAACTTTTAGCAAAATTTCACAGGAAATGGGTTTGAAACCCTCGGGCTTCAAACCTCTTTTTTTTACATTTTTTAATACAAATCTTCTAAAACTAAATTAATAAAATATTGTTATTTAATTGAATTTAAACGACAATAACTCATTAATTAAAAAAATTACACTCAATAAAAAATTGTATTAATATAATAAGATTTGAATAAAATGATGATCTCATTTTTCGAATATTTTGTAGAGATAATTAAAATAAATATAATATATTTTAGAGGAATTACAAAGATAATGAGAATAAGAATAAGTGTATTTATAATATTGAAAATATTTTTTTTAAAATTAATGCCCAACGGTCCAAATTATGGCCGTTGGGGGAGGAACAACCATTGGAATAGGGAGAAGTGAAATTTGCACTGAATAGGACTAAAACATAAGTCATTTCTCAATGTAGGACTTAAACTTTTTTATTCCCTAAATATGACTTAATAATGACCAGTGAAAAGAATAATGTCCAAGTGATGCTGGATGTTTAATTGAATAATGACTAATAGATAATGACTAATGGTCCTACATTGAGAAATAAAAATATATGGTCTTATATTTAGAAAGTCATTATGTTTTAGTCCTATTTAGATAAATTACTCTAGGGAGAAACGATGCGTCAAAGGTTTAACGCAAATCTTTTAACGCCCCCATAACGGTAAAGGGGGCGGTGTTTAACGCCCCCATGCGTTAAAACTCACTTAACGCTCAAGGGCGTTGCTACCATTTCCGGTGGCCTTAATCAAAAGCTTTCTTCTTACTCCAACCACAATTGGTATAATACTCCCTTCGTCCCAAAATATTTGTCACACTTGCTTTTTCAGCAGTCGCGAGAACTTTTATTTATTTCTACGTTTTCATTAGTTATTTGATAAAATAAAATATTCTTGACACCTCTTATTTCGAAGAACTTTTCATGTAGTTTTTTTATGAGTAAATTTTATTTTTTATTTCTATACCAATATGTAAATAAAATGAATTGAAAAAATTTGATATTTTGTCTTGGAAATACAAGTGTGACAAATATTTAGGGACGAAGTGAGTATATTCTTTGGGTATGAATTTAAAACAATTCATTTGACTTTTTCTTATCTAATACTCTCTCTCTCCTAAAATGTTCTTCTCAGTTACTTTTCACACGATCAAACTGTAATCATTTTCTTTACCTATTTTCATTAAGTATTGATAAAATAATATAGTCTTGTCACAATTTGTTTTGTAGAACTTCTGATGAAGTTTTTAAATATTTAAATTTTATTTTTTTATTTTACACCTACAATCAAATAAATTGAATTGAAAATAAAGTTGGTCAAACATCGTAAACAGAAACATGAAGAACATCATAGGATGAAGGGAGTACTTTAATAATTAATATTGATATTTACATACAAATATATTTTATAAAATTTTAATAGTTCAAAACAACATTTCATAAATAAACTATTGATATTACATATATATTGAAACATAATATATTTTTTCTGCATATTGAGATTAAGGTTTACAAACTTTGGTCCAGAAAAATCAAATGAAACGATTAAATTCAGACGCAAAAGTACATATCAATTATTGTTTATTCTTTTTGCATCACTTTTATATTTTCTTTTACTTCTAAATATATTTCTTCCAGTTTCGTACAACGTGCAAATCACATCTCTTTAAAATAATTTTATTTATAAATTGATATAGAAGTTGATGGACAAGAATTCAACCGAACGATCTAAGGTTCAGCATCCCACATCGCCCGTCCGCGGGCTTGGAGGAGTTTCCTGTGGAGACAACGGTCGCGCTCCCCTCTGCCAACCAAGCTCGTCTAGCTGCCAGCTCCGATCGCGACCTAGTCAATATGGTCCTCGTTAAGTTTGGCCAGGTATGCGCTTAGACCGAAGTTAAAGTGGGGGGGAGGCTCAAGAAAATATTCACTTTCAAACATGTCTTCTCGCATGCAAACGGTATTTAATTATTTAAATATACAGTATTTATTTAAATCCCCTGCAACATGACCACTACTATATATAAAAGGAATAATCAGTGAAGAAGAAGAAGAACAGGTTTCCACAAACTGAGAGCATAGATTACCCTTCCCTTCCAACTCTGCAACATCCACTCTCCTCCTCCATCTTCATCCACACTGAAATCTCTGTGGTATCCCATCCTAACTTTTGCCTTCACTTCCCTCATGATCTCTTGGTTCAATGGGAGCAACCTGAGCCCTGCTCTCTCATTCCTCGCCCGCCATTGCTTGTACGTCTCCGGCCTCTCCACTCTCTCCCTCCCTTCACACGCCACAACGTTCAGAATCTCCCTCCCCATCGCCTCTTGCTCCACCACCACCCGCCCCTCGTCCTCCCCCGCCATCGTCGCCTCGAACATGTCGAACATGGCCGAGTAGTGGAAGTACGACTCCCGGAATCTTGTCGTGAAGAACGGGGCGTTGTAGCTCGCGTTCACCACGCCCTGGACGAAAAATTTGGGGTTTAGTTTCTTGATCAGCTTCAGAATGCAATCTCTCGGGTTGTTGTTCTCCACCACCTGTTCAACGCACTTGTTATGTTGAGATATAACATAATACGGAGTATAATACAAATCCGCGTTTTCGTTTTTAGCAAACTTCTCAGAATATATTCACCTACAAAACCTGTAGGTGAGCGCTCGTTGCTCCCACCTGCACGTTTTGTAGGTGAACCCAAGGTGTAGAAAGGAATTCTTGGTATTAATAATACCGTTTCATCGGGCACGTTCTTTAGCCTGTATAAGCAGTTGACCACAAGCATTTCGCTCGGATCAATCTTGAGATCATCTGGAGTGATTGTCTCCCATTGCTTGGCAATGGCATTATACTCGAAGGGGACGTTGAATCTCCTGGCAAAGTTCTCAAGCCTCCTCCCGGTTTCCTCTACCCTCTGGGCAGGCCTGAAGCCGGGTTGAGGGAAATCAATTCCAGTCATTCGAAGCTTCGGGGGCCCACCGGGTCGGAGTGAAATCCCGTGTATGATGCAGGGCCATTGGAAACCATATAGGATGCCGAAATCAATGATATGAATCTTTTCTGCTTCTCTGGTTCGTTTTGCTATTGACTTGTTGGCAAAAATGTTGGACATTCTCTTGAATGGGCAAGCTGTTATGTAGACCTGATAAGCTTTCAGATAATCTGCAACAGATGACATCCACTTGCTGGTTGTGTACAGGGATGTTCCTGCAGCAGCAGAGCGGGCTTCAAGGGCATTGGCGAAACAATGGGCAACTCTCTCGCGAGCATCGCCGTAAGGGGAAGAATGGAGCCTGACAGCTGTTAGCCATTGTTGGAAGCTCTTCTTGTTTCCGGAAGCCTCAGCCTGGGCACACTGAGAAAGAAGATTGCCGAGGTCGACGATCTCCTTAGTCTTGGCCCCATTTTTGCTTCCTTTAGGCCTTCCACGCTTTGGACCTTGAATATACTTTTCCTCTCCAGCTGCATTTCTTGAAGTTTCTAGGGAAAGATATGACGGATCTAATGAAGATCCGTCATAGAATGCAGGATTCATGGAAGGACAGAGCAAGGCCTTGTCGTACTTCTCTGTTTCTTCTGGCTCTTGAGAGTCACCATTAATGGCAAACTGCTTGTTGCTCCGCTCTTCTCCACACGAACTGCTAACATCTCGGCCATGTTTCTTCGTCTCATCGTTTCTTCCTCCCTCAGAAGAAGCATTTTTGATCGAGTGCGTCTGGGTTCTCCCTCTTGAAGGAAGCAGGAAGAACCCAGTTTCAAACAAGGAGCTATGCAAGTCATCCATTAATGGAGAAGGTTTATTCATGGGAGGGTCCATGTCTGTGATTTGAGTCCAAGAAGGAGAGGGAGGATGGTTGAGGGTGAGGGCATCATAGAAAGACTTCTCGGCAGCCTGGAGTGCCATGGAGTCTTGAAACATGCAAGGTTTATATTCCAAACCGTCTTCCTCCATGAGCATCTGCTGTATGTACTTGAAGACTCCGTCGAAGTAGTCGCCTTCAACCGGAGAAGATGAAGAAGCTGGACTGCCATTGCAGGTTTCTGCAGATTCTTCATCCCCGGAGCTATGCCGAGCTTGAAGAAGGGTGGCCATCACTTAATCCCAACCCAAGAGAGAAAAACTGTCATTGCCTGGTTGCAAACTTTGAGGGCTGTAATGGTACTTGAAAGACGGGTTCAGATCTTTCACAAGGATGATTTTTCTGTGGAATTTTTGGAACTTGGAAATGATAAGATGGATAATATCCAAAATGGGATTTATGCGAAATTCTAGAGACAGATTAATAGAGTGGGAAATTAAATTATGCAGATAGGTTCAAAAGAAGACAGGATTACAGACTACATGCATGTTCCAGCTTCTGACAATGCAATGGATGGATGCACTTAAATGTTAATGGAAACATTGCAGAAAAAAGAATGGGTGGAGTGAATTAAAAAATAAATAAAAAGTTGAGTGGGGTTTCCAATTTCTCTAGTCCTACAGCTTGGTATATGAATGAAGTACAGAGTATAAGAAATTTATTATAATCCCAATGGGGTCAAAACACATGCTATTTTATCCATGTATACATACTGCAACTGGAACCTCAGTATCATAGAAATAACAGGGAAATTCCGCCCTGGAGAGTTTGAGGTTTGTTTTGGTGCAGTAATGGAGGGGAGAAAGGGGAGGGAAAATCGATCAGTTTTACGAAAAACCACTTGCAGATGAATGTAATAACTAAAATAATGTCACAGATCATTACATAAGTAACATGTAATTTCAACACCAACAAACACGTCATGAAACAAAGCCAGCTGAATGAAGAAAAAAAAGTCTCATAATGATTTTTTGTAAAGCTATTGTTCATACTTCATACTACCATCGACAGCAGCAATAGACCCGTTCTATGTGCCTGGTGAGCATATGACAAAGCTATGAGATGTATAGAAACAGTGCAACAGTGGCATTTTAAAAGTTCACACAAATGCCAATTAAGTTGATATAGGCTAGCATGGTCACAGTCTAGAGTGAGTGCTTGTTTACGTGGGAACGATTGGCTTGTTTAGAGATTTCTATGCAGGTACCCAACAAGAACTGGCACAAAGAATCCGCCCCTTCCACCCCTGCAGCATCCAAACGTCTTCTTTATCAAACAGAAAGTCTTTGTGGTACGCCTTCAGCTTTTTTCTTAGCTTGTTCATGCACTCGGAGTTCAGTGGAAGAGGCTTGAACCCAGCCCTCATACTTCTCAAATGCCACCGCTTGTAAGTCTCAGGCCTCACAATCCTCTCGGCCCCCTCGCATGCAATCACGTTCAACATCTCACGCCCGTAGAATTCTTGCTCAAAAAGAAACCTCTGTGGATCATCACGAGATAATGTAGACTCAAAGATGTCAAAATGTGCATGGTAGTGGAAGACGGCCTCACGGAACCGAGTCGCAAAGAATGGAGAACTAAAAGATCCATTTTGAATAGTGTGCACAAACACACCTGGGTTCAGTTTGAGGATTAGCCTCAGAACCGCATCACGAGGACTGTCCACCATCACTGTTTCATCAAGTAGGTCTTTTAGCCGAAACGAGCAGTTCACCGCAACCATCTCATCACTTCTTCTAGCAAGCTTAAAATCTTCAATTTTAATTGCCTCCCAATTTTGAGTTGCTATAGCATTGTACTCAAACTGCACACCAAAACGTTCGCAATACTTGGCTAGGCGGCGCCCGGTCTCTTCTATCAATTCCGCTGGCCGAAAACCCGGTTGAGGAAGATCTATTCCTGTAACGCGAAGTTTAGGAGGTCCACCCGGCCTCATAGAAAGGTGTTGGATAAGAGCAGGCCATTGGAAACCATACTGAATACCAAAATCTATAAGATGTAGCGTTTTGGCTTCCTGTGACACCATGTAAACCATTTTATTTGCATAGCCTATTGATATCTTCTTAAACGGGCATGCTGACATGTAAACTTGGTATGCTTTCAGCTTCTCAAAAGCTGTGATCCTTTTACGAGGTAGAGATGTATAGAGCTGGGTCCCCGTACCAGACAAGCGTGCCTCAAGACCATTAGCCAATACATATGCCAGCCTCTGATTCGCATCACCATTAGGGGAACAATGCTCCTGGATCAGTTTTAATTGTTCATTTGCAGTCCTGCGATCATTAGCACCAATTGATTGCGCACAGCTGATTAAAAGAGTCCTTAGGTCTACAACTTCACTTGTATCTCCCTGCGGCCTCTCTGCACTGTGTTTGCCGCCATTTGGCACATCATGTGGCTTGCTTTTTACGGCTTCAGACAAGAGTTGAATATCCCCACCATTGGGAACATTATGTGGCAGGCTATTGCGAATTTCAGATGAGGATAAAATATTCATGCGACACTCATCCAGATCACACAGCAAAACTTTATCAAACATCTCTGATAACTCCTCTTCCACATACACTGCAGATTGCTTGCTGCTCCTCTCTTCCTCAAACTCATTGTTATCCGGATGGTGATGCTTCTTTCTGCTTGTAGACGAATTAAGTGAACTGTTTATTTTATTTTTCTCTACCTTGGTGATTGTATCATTTGGCATCTCACCTGTCTTTGGAGGGAATGAATACTTATCCAAATCAAGTGCCAATTGAGCATTACTGGGGAGAAATTTATTAGCTTCCTCCATTCCTCTCTTGAAATGCATTATGGCCTCTGTGTTACTAAATATATTTCCAAGCTCGCTAGGATTCCACAAAGAATCCACTTGGACATGCATATTACTCCCACTACTATTCAGAGAGCCATTTAACCTCCCAGAAGTGGTTTGAAAAGAATGGGAGTATGGTTCAGGAGGACAGCTCACTAAATGCGACTTAGATTGTCCAGGATCGACCATCCACTGAGATGAATCACTGTGATTGCTACTGGTGGAACCGTTGCTTGAATAAGGTTCACTGGAATTCTCGCATATGCTGCCCAAGCCTTCTGTATTATGGCTAGCCAGGGATTGATGAGGTGAAGGGTGGTTCTTATCAAGGGCTTCATAGAAGTAATTCTCAGCAGCTTTAAGAGCAATAGGATCATGGAACATACTGGGCTTCGCATCAATGTCTTCCTCCAATAGTATCTGGTTGAGGTACTTGAAAACAGGGTCAGTGTCATGATCATCTGGAGAGTCCAACTCTGCAGGTGGAGCAAAATGGTCATTGTTCGAAGTAGGTGAAGTCAAAGGGTCACCCGTGAAATACAAAGCTAAAGAGTCGTCCAAGTAATTGTAAGGAGTGTCTTGAGATTGTTTAAAGCTAGGAAAAAAGGGCTCATCTTGCTGCTTGAGTGTGCTTACGGAGTCAGGCAACCCAGAGAACTGAAGATCCATCAAGAGATATGTGACAAGGACCTGCACGATCCATAGTCAAAACATGAGTAATCAATGCATTCAAAGACAATGACTCTGCGAGTGAACATCATTAACAGATGCGAATTGAGTTTTCAGAAGCATTTACAGATTTACCAGAAAAGATATATTCAGAAAATGCCACACATTTGGTAGTGATTCATAGAGAAATAGTGTTACAACTATCAATTGCAGAAAGAGGTATGAATTGAATTCCTGGGTTAACAAACAAAAAACGGATCTCCCAACACTTCAAAAGCTAAAGCCATTAAGTTTCTTCTTCTCTTCTTCTTTTTCCTTCTTAATTTCACAATAATCCCTCGCTAACATTTTCAAAGGTAATCCCACAAAGAATAACAGGAAAATAAGTGCAAACAGATATGCAGAAACACATACGGAGTAGAGTTTATGTATGGGATGCTAAAACACTGCAGCTGTAAGTTAGCCAAGTCCAAAACCCTTTTGAGAAATCTCACTGAAAAATGAAAACTTGTATAGCTTAAACCCTAGCCTTTAATTGGAATGAATGATCATAGTCACTGAAAAACAGAGTAGTACTGGATTGTATTGGAATTTCAACGAATCACAAATCACAATGAGAAAAACCATAGAACAGCGTGGATCAGTAGAGAAAAAGATCAAAGGAATCGCTCAGAAACCATTCAATAGATAATTCAGATGCGTACCTTAGAGCCTAAAGAATTGGAGAAGAGGAAGACAGAGTTTGAGCAGTCCAAAACATGTGCGGGCACAAGGCAAAGTCACTCTGATCATTGAGAGTGAGGGAAAATGTTGCCCAACCAGACGAAGTTTCTCAGAAAAACGAAAAAGGAGAGAAAAGTCGGCCGCAAACAGTGCTACTTTCCCAAAAAGAAGAATATTCCCTAATACAAATAAATTCATTTTTTTTATCTAAAAAAGAAATTCATTTCTCCCATTTTTTCAATAGTTAAATAAGACAATATGTTTTTATTTCCCAATGTAGAACCTTTGGTCATTATCTATTAGTCATTATTCAACTAAATGTTCAACATCACTTAGACATTATTCTTCTCACGAGTCATTACTAAGTCCTATTTAGGGAATAAAAAAGTTTAAGTCCTACATTAGAAAATAACTTATGTTTTGGTCCTATTCAGTGCAAATTTTACTAAATGAGAATGTGATGCTAAAAACATCTTGATCCATTGGTCTTATTAGGGTTTTATATTTATTTCAAAAGTATTTTTCAAATCCCCGAAATATTTTAAGTGCTTGTAATTGATGTACAAATAATCTCTCTGGTGAAATTTCTGGCCAAAACTCTGACATACAGTCTGTTTTTTAAAGTTTATTCACTTTTTGGCCTTCACTTAAACGGTATGCCAGAGTTTTGGCCAGAAAAGTCATCGAAAAACTATCTAGGCATCAGTTGAAAAATATAGAGACCTGATAAGCACTTAAAATAATTTAAGTACATGACAAGCATTTTGATAAAATATAGAGACCTAGTCTAACTTTTTTCCTTACTTTAATAGTAAGAAATCGCCTTAAATAGAAGTAAAAATATAGAGAAAACACTAAAATATAAATTCCTTATTTTTATCTTTAAAATAGGAGTTTGCACTGTGGTAATGTGGCACTGTATACGGACATTTCATAATATTTTTTGATAATGTATATGGTCATGATTTACAGTTTATATGCATTTTAGCTCATACGGAGTATTTTAAGAATAAAAACATGAAACTCCTATTATAGTATATTTTCAATGTTTTATTCCTATTTTAATTTTTTTCTCCTAATAATTCTTCACATTTTTCCTTCTTTTTAAATTATAGACCCTACATGTCATTAATTTGTTTTATGTACATATTTTTTTTATTACTTCATCCGTTCATAATT